AAGCAGGCTCGAGCTAGTCCCATAGTTGGCCTTTAAAATTACTCTAGCTGCACGGTTCTGTAACTTTTGTAATTTGTCACTCAGTTGATCACTTAAGCCATCCCAAACGAGGCTACAGTAATCAAAGTGAGATTGAATTAAGGAGTTATAGACTGGTACCGCAGTAGATTGGGAGATAAGGGGCCTGATACGTCTAAGGGCACCTATAGCCGAAGTTACCTTCTTACACAATTCGTTAACATGATTAGACCAGGAAAGCCGATTGTCGATGATGAGACCTAATGATTTTGCGTGATCAACATTGCTGATAACTTGGTCTTCTAGTTTAATGTTTATTTCGTTATGGCTTTCCGCAAGAAGCTTCTGGCGAGAGCCAATAACCATAAATTGGGCTTTCGCAACAGAACAATAGATGCACCGAAATTTCGCCGCTTTTTCGTCTGAAACGAAAGTTCAATATATTGTTCTCCGAAATTCGCTAATTTCACTGAATTTTTCTTGCACAGTACTGTAGAATAATAGAAAGCAAAGAAAGAACGAGAAACGCGATTACAATGAGTATGCTACGATTTATACCAAATTGGTGTAAAATTCAAGTTACCTGGAGGGCATGGTATGCATCCTTCAGCTCCTTGAGAAGTCATATTGGAGAATGTACCAACTGGACATGGTAAGAAGAACTTAGAATACGGATAAACAGAGCTTGGTCCATCTCCAGGTACTTCTCTGAATCCCGAGGCCACAAGAGCAACAATCAATCTTTTCTCATCGGCTAACAAACTATATTTCACTTCAATCTTTTCTGCTTTCGACTCGTGTGGATTTCTTGACAGAAGAAAGCAACTATTTTAGATTTGTTGATAACAAGAAGGTACCATTTCAAGGGGAAGAACGTTTTCAAAGGCTTTGGTTCGATTCCATCATTTATAAATAAAGGCGATTACAAAAATACTTTGAAAGGCATGATTTCAGTTTACTAGAAGAGCATTACCGTTTAGGTCACGCTCTATGGTGGGAACTTGTACGTTTGTAAATTGAATGGTGGCGTAAAACTGTTTTAAGGACGCCTCACTTGAAATTTGTAGGACTTTGAAGTTCTGCGAGAAAAGAATCCCACAGAATAGAACACCTTATCTCGAGAATTTCTTTTTTTTACCTTTGAATCATTTTCCGCAACTTGATTAAACTCAGTAAGCCGAACTGTTTTTTTTCTGGCGGTTCGAGTGAACGGGCCTCTACCACATATCCATAAAGAGTCCTAAGGTTTTTGTTATTGTTCCTTTTTGCTGTGAGATTCCTTGCTCAGTTGCAAACGTTTCCCAGTGGCGGATCCAGGGGGAGGGTCCGGGGAGTCCGGACCCCCCCTCCCCCCCAATAAGACGTGACGCTTGTTTGAGACTGTGAAATTCTTGCATCAACAGGATCGTACATCACTTTTTAACTGGCTGACTTTTTTTTTAATGAAACGCGCGTTGCATTTTTGTCACTAAACTAAATTCCAAGGATATTCAAAAATTTAATTGTTTTTGGGTACCCAGCTATGATCTGTTCGCCTCTGCTCGCAAAGCAGCATTTCCCAGTAATGACGAAATCTGTACAATCTTTGTTACCAAGCACAAGAGGAGGATGTTCCAAGGGTGCATCCTTTACGAGTAGAATTCAAGTACACAGTAAACGGCCAAGGAATTATAACGTACAACCGCGGCTGGTGAGAGAGGGTGTGGCCGGGGGGGTGTGGGGGAGAAGTAATTTGCCCAAAAAAAGTTCCACAGTCCTTTCTGAACCAAATTTCGGACCCTCCAATCAAAAATTCCTGGATCCGCCGCTGTTTCCGTTGAGTTTATCCAATCGTTTATATCTACACTATATTTGAGACTCCGTAGGGGGACCAGTAATCTAAAATGAGATTGACGAATGGGTTCAGATTGTTTTTCAAAACAAGCCGTGGGGCAGCTTTACTTTAGTGAAGTTCTAGTTCTGGTAGGTAAAGATGCACTGACAAATATATTACGCAGCGAAGCGAAGGACTGGCTTTAAGCGAGAAATATTTTAGTGTTCTCAACATCCTGTGCTCCATCACCCTGCAGAAAAGAGCAAAATGAAATACATGTAAAACTAGACTAAACTAAAACAGTATAGAACCTAAACGCCACCCCTTAACTGTAAAAGATCAGAGAAAATCAGAATTACACTGTAGACCTCAACCTTTCAGTAAAAATAGGCTTTAATATTTATTTTAATCATAAATTGTTGAATATTATAAAACTGTGATTTTGGGGTCTGATCAGTAAAACGCAGATTACTCGAGGTCGGAGTCAGTTTTAGTTAGTGAGATGTCGATTATTTTGTTTCATTCATGAATGATCACAAAACACAAACAAAACACTATTATTTTGAGCAGTGTACAAGTTAATACCATTCATCTTACCTGATTTAANGGCAGCTTTACTTTAGTGAAGTTCTAGTTCTGGTAGTTAAAGATGCACTGACAAATATATTACGCAGCGAAGCGAAGGACTGGCTTTAAGCGAGAAATATTTTAGTGTTCTCAACATCCTGTGCTCCATCACCCTGCAGAAAAGAGCAAAATGAAATACATGTAAAACTAGACTAAACTAAAACAGTATAGAACCTAAACGCCACCCCTTAACTGTAAAAGATCAGAGAAAATCAGAATTACACTGTAGACCTCAACCTTTCAGTAAAAATAGGCTTTAATATTTATTTTAATCATAAATTGTTGAATATTATAAAACTGTGATTTTGGGGTCTGATCAGTAAAACGCAGATTACTCGAGGTCGGAGTCAGTTTTAGTTAGTGAGATGTCGATTATTTTGTTTCATTCATGAATGATCACAAAACACAAACAAAACACTATTATTTTGAGCAGTGTACAAGTTAATACCATTCATCTTACCTGATTTAACATATCAAGTAAGAGAGAAGATGCTTTCCGATTTCAAAAATATTTTTAATTTTTCCTTATCTCGGATAGTCTTAACTCCAGGATGGAGCCAAACAATGCAATTTTACTGCGATATGGTTTGGATTGAAAAGCGCGGGTGAACGTATGCTTCGGTGTGGCATACAAGTTTTTTTGTAAAAACTACGACAATAATAGCACCGATAAACAAACTTGCCTGTTGTCTTTATGCGGAGCATGACGTCTCTGTCTCAGGCTTCAATTTGCGATGCTTTGCGGTGCGTTCTGTAGCCTCTCAATCAATTCAGTGTTACATTACATTTCAATCGTACCCAATGCATCTTACCTTTAGCGTACGTCTCCCTTTTCGTCGTTGTATATTATCATTATTATTGCGATCTCCCTATGATTCATTGTAAAAAAAAAGCCCCATAGCTGAATGACATTGCAAGCCAGAGCTCGAAATCAGAAATACAGCCTGTTTTACAAGGAAAATGGTTGCCAGTAAATCAAAGAATACCAGTGGACAAAGAGTCAAAACAAAAATACAAACAAACAAACAAAAAGCTCGCCGATGTGACACCAATTCCCAAAAAGAAACCTATAAACGACTTGAAGAAAGATCTGCATCCGATCTCTTTGGCACCTTGTGTTTCTAAGATTGCGGAGGACTTTGTCATCTGTGATCATGTCAAGCCAACAGCACCGAAGTACCAGACGACAACCAATTTGGCGCAGTTCTGAAGTCCTTTTCCACACTGGCCCTGCTAGAGATGCTTCACACTTGGACTGAGGCCACAGATGAAAATGGTTCCACCATCAAAACGATCCTTTTCGATTACAGAAAGGCCTTTGACTTGATTGATCATAGCATTTTAGTTAGTAAGTTACGATCCCTAAGTATGATCAGCTGGATAATTGACTTTCTATCCAATCGATTTCAGCGAGTTAAACTCGTAGAAGGCTGTGTGTCTGAATGTGGATCGGTTCGCTCCGGGGTCCCTCAGGGCACCAAATTAGGACCCTGGCTTTTTATCTTAAGGATTAACGATTTACCTTCTTACGATGCTTTCTTATGGAAATATGTAAACGACACAACGGTATCAGAGGTTGGCCTGAAATTAACAGTCACAAATGTAAGGAATTACGCGTATCTTTCGCTAAGAATAAAGTAGACCTTCCCCCTGTAGTGGTAGATGGCCACAAAAACCTTGAAGTTGTAGACCATGCTAAGTTACTTGGAGTCACTATTACTAGCAACCTTTCTTGGAATATGCACGTTTCTGAGATGGTAGAGAAAGCATCTAAACGCTTATATATTCCTAGGCAATTAAAGCGCGCCTATGTCTAGAAGGCCGATCTGCGTAGGTTTTACACCAGCTGTATAAGGTCTGTCTGCGATTACGATTCCTGTGTTTCACGCTTCGTTACCTCAGTACCTAATCGACGATTTAGAGCGGGTACAGAAGAGGGCTCCTCTCCATCATATGCCCCACCTTATCCTTCGACAACGCTCTAGCTTCGTTAGACCTAGAGTTACTAGCGGTTCACCATCATGTTAGTCCCTTTTTGATAATATCTTACAGGTCAGAGATCACCGTCTCCTACACCCTCAGGCATGCCAGGACTTTTGATGTCAAGTTTAAGACTTGAAAGGCCTGGAATTTTTTTATTTATTACATCCACTTTGAAATCACTGGCTATCCGTGCAATCTGATTGGCTCTCAGCAGTGTGATTTATTCCTAAATCGCACCATTTTTTGCTCTAAATCGCATCTGTTCCAAATCGTGTCATTCATGTTCTAAATCGCATCATTTCTATTTTAGATCGCACCATTTTTGTTCTATATCGCATCATTTCTGTTTCGAATACAAAATGAGATGTAAAAGCCTTTTTGTTTCGGCTTTTTAACAAACCGGCTACTCGATCAATAAAATATTAGTACTGACTAAATTCTGCGATTTCAAAATGGATGTAATAAAGTGGTAATTGAACTTCGTGTCGTGCAATTTTGGTCTGAAATCATACTTGTGATTTCAAATCGAACTCGCGCTGCGCGCTCGTTCGATTTTGAAATCACTCGTATGATTTCAGACCAAATTGCACTCCACTCAGTTCAATTACCATTATTAATTCTCAATGCCTCCAGGTAAGCTCATCAGAATAGCCACCGCCTCTTTAATGGCACTTTGTTCGTATTTTAGATATTTTATGTATATGTATGTATTCTTTACAGTTATATTTTTTCTTAAATCGATTGTAATTTATTCGTTTTCTAGAATTTAGTAGTTTTTAATCTTTTATATGTATATACGTAATTCAGCCTCTGGCAGCGATGTTTATACCAATAAAGTAAGTATCTATCTAAAAAAAACGATCCCCGCCCCCGGAACCCCGGAGTCTGCGTTTTACTGAAACCCTTGCATTTGAACTTTTTTTTGCTTCTCTAACGGATATTTTTTTAAGGATAACTTTCTAAACATCTTTTTGCCTGTGAAAAAAAAGATATTATTACAGTTTACGCAAGAATATACACTTATTATATCCATATCATGTCGTCCTACATGGTGGAGTTGAGATCACGAAGCCCGCTGAGATGATGTGATCCTATTCCACTATGGCCGATAACAGCCTCAGGATTCAATGCCTTTAGTTTTGTTCGTAACAAATATCTGTCAGGAAGAGCAAAGAAAATACGCGGAGGGTTTTTAGTATTGAATTCAATCATTTTCATAACGTTTGTTTGTTTGCTTTTTTTGTTTGTTTGTTTTGTTTTGTAAAGCTGACTATAATAAGAAAAATTTTAGAACAGTACTTTTAACGTTAAATCAGAGTTAAACGTACCTGAGCTGATGCTAAAGGCTTTTCTATTAGTGAACATGAACGTCTAAGGAATTATTTCTTCCTTGAAACGTAGATGACATGGGTAATAGAGCTTTAACCTTTATTCAGTTAAATTCCCAGTTTAAGGGCTACGGCTTTTTTTAACCTTTAAAAGCTATGGAACTCAGAAGTAATTAACTTACAGAGTCAACGATTTGGAGACAGGAATCCTAAAAGCCTTCGGTTCGATTGCTGTTATGGGATTGTCTGACAACATTCTAAATTGCATTTGTAAATGAACATTAACTAAAGGTAATCCAAGTGGGCATTTCTTCTTTATATAAGTACAATTATTAACTACATTTTTTATTCCGCCTTGCACTCTGTCAAAACAAGGGTTATATCATTAGTGCCTGCCCAAAAGGATGCCGGAGACTGATTCCTTTTTTGGCCAAACATACGGTTAAGTGCCCCTCTTACCGCAATAAAACAGCCACGGAAATTGCGCGTGGAAACTTGAAAAGTAATTCACCTAATCCACTCCAAGCGCTGAAGAATAAAACAACTCCAGTTGTTTAGGTTGCTCTGTTGTAGGGAGAAGAAAGTAAAAAACTAATATATTCTCTCCGTTGTCGAATTAATTCTTTTCTCTTCCACTTATCCATCTTCTTATCTGGATTGACCTTAAATCCGTTTCGATTATCAAGTCCGGCCGTGAAAAAAGCAGTGCTCTTTGTTTCAAGTCGTCCTCTGACATGATAAGCTTGATAATTAAACATTGTACTCACCAACTACCTTTTCATTGGCTTAAAAAAGAGCCTATTATTACGTCTGGAAATATCAGCGCAACCTACAGATTTGTGATTTTTTCTGCTAGCAGATGACTGACTAATCCGTAGGGTGCGCGCACAACGCATAATTGACAATCTTAGACTGTACTTCTGTGTGTTTCTTTATTAGATTCGGTTTTTGTGATATCCGGAATAATCAACGTCTCGGTTAGTGTAGCCTGCGTAGCAAGAGTTTCCAATCGAGTTAGTGTGCGAAAGTTAGAGCGGTAGCAAAAAATAAAGGTGGAAGGGGGAGGGGAGAAGAGGAAACCTGCACCTGCCCCACCACCTGCACCTATCCCGTAGTCAATGACCGTTGGGGCGCCACAGACGTTTCAACCCTCTCCCTCCATTTTATTTTGTTATCAGCTTCTCTTACGGCGTGGCAAAACTTCAACCCTGTCCATTCAGCGATGTTGTTTTCCCAACGCTTCTTTTGTCTGCCCCTTCTTCTCCCTCCTTGCACTGTTCCTTGTAAAATCGTCTTGGCAAGCCCTGATGATCTTGATACTTGCCCAAACCACTTTAACTTGCGTTTCTTTACCGTGGATAATGGCTTGCCTGATTCTTGCCTGATTCTGTCTCTGACTGCATCGTTAGTGATGTGATCTCTGTATGAGATGCCAAGCAGTTCCCGAAAGCATCTCATCTCAGTGGCCTGCAATTTCTTCAGGATGTCCGCTGTCAATGTCCAGGTTTCACGGGCGTACAATAGTACAGAGATAACTAGGGAGCTCATTAGTCTGATCTTTGAGCTTAGAGAGATATGCTTATCACTCCAGATGGTCTTCAGCCTCGCTAGTGCTGCTGTTGTCTGTGCAATTCTGGACAGTACTTCAGGCTTGGAACCCTGATCTGTGACGACCGCGCCCAGATACTTGAAGCTATCAACTTCGTCCGATTTTTCACCGTTGATTCTGATGTCAATGCTGATACCATTCGCGTTATTGGTCATCAGTTTGGTCTTCTCTGCACTGATTTCCATGCCAAAGGCTGCAGAGGTCTTATCTAGGCGATCCACCAGGGAGGCTTGTTCCTCCTCTTTTTCTGCCAGGCCGTCAATGTCATCAGCAAAACGTAAGTTGGCAATTGTTCTGCCTCCGATGTTAACTGTTCCTTGGTGACCTTCTAGTGCGTCGGTCATAATTCTCTCCAGAAAGATGTTCAAAAGAGTTGTTCAGAGTAATTCGACCTGATCGGAAACCTGCCTGTTCTTCTGCGATGACTGATTCTGCCTGAGGCTTCAGCCTATTTAACAGCACCTTCAGCAGGACTTTACTTGGGCGGCATATAAGGCTGATTGTGCGGTAGTTCTTGCACTGTTGAAGGTTGCCTTTCTTGGGAAGGGTGATGATAAGAGACTGGATCCATGGTATGGGTCACTCTCCTGTCTGCCAAATGTTATTGCAGATTTTATGCAAGGCTCTTATCACGGCATCTCCTCCTGCCTGTACCAGCTCTCCCGGGATATTGTCTATTCCCGGAGATTTTCCCTTCTTGAGCGATTTCACAGCTGCTTCGACCTCTTCACGCAAGATTGGGTAGTTGTCAGTGTCGGTAACTATCGGGACAGTCAACACCTCAGGGTCACCTGCAACTGTGTGGTTGTACAGTTCCGCACAGTATTCTGTCCACCTGTTTAGAATTTCGTTGGTTTCAGTGAGGCAATTCCAGTCTTTGTCCTGTATGGTGTTGGTTTTTCCTTGTTTCGTGCTAGTTAGAGTTTTAATTAGTTGATATGCTTTCTTACTATCGTTCTTCCTGATGTTATCTTCAATATCTTGACACTGTGCATCTTCTTAATTTCTGGTTGATTGCTCTGTACTTTCTTGCTCCTTCTGCTGTCTCGTGTCTGTGTTCTCTAATAGAACACGTTCGGTGCCAGGCGATTGCAATAAAAGAAGGTTAAAACCCTGAGCGATTGCTGCGGAATTTCTTGTTTTTTATTCTGTGGCTTTATCTCGTCTGAAACCTTGTCGAAAGGTCAAAAATGATTTGTCCTGAACAATTCACTCCGCCGGCTATAAGTTTTGCAGAGCGGCTGCTCTTCAGCCCGTGTCGAAACCTTCTCTCCAAAACATGCCGCTAAA